AAACAAAGCTTATATACTACCCAAGAAATAGTCTAGTTTGCACATTATTGGGAATTAGAGCAATATGCCATGCACGTGAACTGCGATACATTAATTACTTAAGAAGGCTAAAACAAAGTTTATATACTACACAAGAAATAGTCTAGTTTGCACATTATTGGGAATTGGTTGTCGGTGTGAGAAACGCGCTGATTACTATCTATTCACATCGATAACTCAAGTAGGTAATTGCTAAGAATTTATCTTTCCTACCTGCGGTACTAACCTCTTGATACCAAGAAGGGTACCTTCATAAATACCTTCGCAGTGACACAACTATATCAGAGCCGGGCAAACTTTAACTTCGGGTCACTCCATACCCTTTGGTGAGTACGAGAGAATATACAGTAATGACCCATATTGCTTTCCCTTTTTCTTCTCATGTCACTCGCACTCGCAGGAGCAATTAGGAGCTCCTTGGCTATCCTGAGGAGCACTCGGGAGTCAAAACAGCCGAGTTTGTCCGACTCTGAACTATATAATGTCATTAAACAATTAGGTTTTTCGCTGAATTATCGGTATGGCTAATTATGTAGTGCATACCTATACCTGCATACGGCCTGTTCGGGTGTGTTGACCCGGGGAAATTTAGGGGTTGTGGCCGAGGAGCGTTTAGTTTTAAGACGCAAAACCACTTTTATATTGTATCAATAACATAAGATCAATTCAGACTACCCAACAAGTAACAAGCATCTTTTTGAATAGCAAGTAATATTAGTTTTAGTTAATTAGTGTGTATGTACAGGATTATTAAACGTATTATATATATTTAATCGACATACATATAGATTTTGTGTGATCAATTACTGATCTATGCCATACAGCAGTACACCGACGGAAACAACAAAAAATTTTCGTCAAGCTAGCCAACAGTAATCATACCGGTCGTTAGAGTAAGTGTACATGGTTTCTTGGAATAAATAAATGTTGAATGTACTTTCCGAGGTACAACAACCCGATATACCAAATTGTGTGGAAGGTCCTTTCAAAAAAGAGCAGGACAGCCCGAGTTTATAAATAGAATAGTTTCGGTTTGTAGATTGTTTCGGTTCAATGGAGCTAGTAAGACCCTTTTGAAGCCCAGTTGCGATTTTGTAAAATATAACGTAGTGAAGTTGAGACCTATCGTCGCATTTAGATAAATAATCACAGTGTTATTCTATTGAATTTTAGCAGAGATATATCATACAAAACAATATAACATAATTGCAATATTGTTTTCTATGATATCAAAATGAATAGTTAACTACTACTAATAATGGCAAGTGATCTTTTTATTATTTTTTTTTTGTTTTCAAGTTTACTATAGTAATTCCATAGTTTCGCTAGAAATTCGATCATTTTAATTACTTATAATAAAAACAAATAAATAACAAAAAACTAATAGAGATGGGTATAAGGGAGTGTAATATAGACAGATAGAGGGAAAAATTCTACAACTGCATTTGAAAAAATATACAGCACATTCCAAACACGTTTTGATGGTTCGAAACTATGCAAATTCGGTATTAAATTGTCATGACCATGTATAATACTAAACTACTTTTAACGTAACTGTAATAAGTGACGGGCTTCCCCCTATATTCCTTCTAAATTCAATACTTCAGCTTGCATAATATCACCCTGTAAGCGCGGAACATTTGCCTCGTAATTTTGTCGTAGTACTGTATAGATACGTAGGGTTGCCATACGTCCCGTATATACGGGACTGTCACCGTATTTAAGTACCACGTCCCTTAATGTTACTTGTCCGGTTTTTGTCCCGTTTATCAATATTTCAATATACACGTNAAACGAATGCTAATTAAAATTTAATATAATGTAAATTATAAATAAGTAGAGATAGTTACGATTAAGACTGGCTGGTGTTGGAAGATAAACGATCCCTATATCATTATCTTGTAATTGATTATTGTACTGTTCATGCATTTTAAATCTGGAGGTGCGAATCACTTGTTGAGAAGGTTCATCTTCAAAAACTTTCTGTGCCCCAAGAATTACTTCCAATGATTGCAATCTGTTAAAAGAAATAAAAAGTAAAATGCAATAAAGTGTATTGGGCAATGACCATAAAAACTAAGACTAAATTCCTTACCCACTGGATAAACATCTGGCAGCTGTTAACACGTATCTTCTGGTGATGAGAGACCCTCCACAAAATCTCACCCCATCACTGTAGGTACGTAACAAAGCTGCCTAAACAAACAAAAAAAAAAACAATTACATTGTAAGCAGTTTGCCGCGAATTTGCCTTCAATGAACCTTCACATTTAAATTGCAATTTAATACTAATGGAATTTGGAGCCGATTTAATAGTTTCGGCTACTTTACTTTAAAAGCAAACCTATAAGCATCCTTATACTATTATGAACACGTTACCCCGCTAATTAACCCCAAAATTTCGATCAAACATCACATATTCTAAATATTTTCTATGCCTACTTGGTATGGTAATGAGCCCGGTGAAGCTTCATTCCCTCCCACGATCTTTAAACCTTCGGACGATGCAAGCCTTTGGAGTCCTGTGGATGCTGTTTTACGAGAAGTTTTAGACCAATCCCTAGTCACGTGAGCCTGTAAAAAACAAAAAATAAATTCAATTATGATCATACATATAAAATTAATCAAATATTCCTTAAAAGTTTTATGTATTAGGTTTACATGGTATAACTACATACAGATAGAAAAGGATCCATTTAATAGCAACAATCGTTTATTTGCAATTTTTACTTCAGTGCACGATTCGATTACTTAAGGAACATTTAAGAAATAACAGCATCACTATTTGCTGCAATCCAGCTCAAATACGATGTTACCCTTGTAAAGGCGCTTGGATCTCCAGCTTGACAATCAGGGTTACCTATAAATGAAGCTACACCAACCTGTAACAGATAAAATAAAATAGCAGTGTTAATGTTCACGTGGATTTTATTAGATTATTATTGATCACTTTTTTGATTTAACAAAACGAATGCAGTTTACTATTCATTGAATTACGGAACACTTTTTGAGGATAGATAAATAAATAGATAGAAATATAAATACGAAATCTTCATATCAATAGTGACACAAAGATAAGTACATATTTTATAAAGCAAATCATTCGCTTTGTGAGTTGGCACGTGATTTAGAAGAAGGCACAAATGGGTAGCACAGTTTTTAAATGAAAGCCATCTATTCAGGGGCGGCCTTAGTCATTGGAAGGTTCCGGGCGGGTAAATTTTTGCGAGGCCTTCGTCTATGTGGAATTCACTTTAATGCTGCTTGAAAAATGCAGTGATTCATAAATAAGTTTACAGTTTTAAACTTGTTTATCGAAAATTAAAAGAAATTGATAGCAAATTTGCGGCTTCTTTTAAGACTATTAAGAAATTCAAATAAACATTAGTAGTATGTACTATTACTACCTGATATTTTTCTAATTAGATTGTTGCGCGAGGGTGCAAGGCCCCTACAAGAGCGAGGCCTCGGGCGGTTGCACTGTTCGCCACCCCCAAGGGCCGCCCCTGCATCTANTCCATGAGGCCGTCATAAATGGTTTTAAACAAAACGTGGCGTTTGTTTATAGAAATATACATATTTTCTTCTTATTCATACACATATTGACTTAATATTTCTAAAGTGATGTGTAATTACCAATTTCCCATTGACGACCAGAGGTCCACCAGAATCTCCAAAACAAGTGCCTTTAATGTCATCTCCCCCAGAACAAATGTTTGAGTTTGTAATGGCAGGACCAAGCTGTATTCTACACACATTGTTTTGTACAATGGGAACATTGACATATCGCAGTACTTCGCTTATATCGTTGCTATCAGCATAAATGAATCCCCAACCACTTACAATTGCCTGACTTCCAACAAAATTATTCGCAGCGTCAGCTCTACTGGGAAGCGGAATCAGTTGAACGTACTCTGTGAAGAGAGATTATTATAATCAATAGAAAAGCAAACAGAAATCGCAAATTTATAGGTAGCGGTCCTCTTCAACGTAATTGTAGAAGTTAAATTAAAGGATTGCAAACAACCTACATAATCATATTCTAATTAGTAAAATTTTTTCTTGTAATTCTTTCTTTAAATAAATTCTGCTGCAGAAGTAAT